AAAATGTCTCGCACAAGACAGTGAACCAACTTTCTTAGCAGCAGATCCAGCAGTGAATGCTTGCATCGGAAATCATTTTCTCCTTTCTTTTCTTTTTTTTTTTTTCTTTGGAATTCAATTTTTGATTAATTTAGCAAAAGGTCGAAGAGACTGAAAACAGATAAAGAATTAATCATCACTAAATTCCCTGGTTTGGTAACCCGTCATGGCATTTAAAGAATACGCTTCGATCATTTCTGCTTATAATCGATTCAATTTGCATGAAAGAAAAGGATTTACATTTCGTTTTACATTTTCGTTTTACCGCAAATATCTTCAAAAATCACAGCCGGAAAACAAATTGTAAATTTCATAAAAGTCATTATTATTCAGAGATTTTCGAACAATTGAATCCTTTCTTTTCTCATTTGTTTTGTTCCCATAATATTTCTGTTGGTATCTTTTACGATCTTTCTCGTGTGAAAGGTTTCTTTTATACGAAAGCTAAAGAAGGGCTGCAATTAAAGCGCCAAAAGCAACGCTTGTAAAAGAAGATGTTATATTGTCAGAAACATTCAATGATGCTTTTAACAGGGAAATTGAAGTCATTTAAGCGCTAGAAATTGTGAAGAGTTTTCATTGTGTGAAAAGTGCTACACTGAAATCCGAAAACGCCTTGGGATAATGAAATGTGCCTTCCAAAAGCTAAGCAAAGTATGAAGAAACAGGAAGATTTCCTAAGACATAAAGAAAGGTCTGCTTAACGATTCGGTATCTCAGTCCTTTTATATAGTGAATCCCCTCACAGATGAAGAAGAGGTTCGAAGCAACAGAAATGTGGTTCTACAAGAGGATGCTATGAATACCATAGATGGAACATGTGAGCAACGATGAAGTTTTAGAGAAAATGGAAACAAGTTCACCCTTATAATTAATATCAGAAAGAGACGGATATAATTTCTAGGAGAAATAATAAGGAAAGAGTGCTTGGAAAATTTGATACTCACAGTGCATGATGAAGGTAAGAGAGACAGAGAAAAACAAAAAATAACCTACCTAGTGAGCTTAAGTAAAAGGATAGCAGAACAGGGTTATGGGGGGAGGTAACAAAAGGACAAAATTTGTTAAGAGTCACAAGGCACAGTAGTGTTTTCGTTCCGCCGTCCATATCTAAGGATATATTGTTTAGCTCTTAAATAAGAAAGGGTTCATTTAGATATTCACTAATGGTTACCCGAATCGAGAATCTCCTGATGAAGGCCGGAGGGTATAATGATCGAAACGTGATAACAACAGCAAAGATAGGGATAACAGCCCGCGGGTAAATAATGTAAATGGTTAGTTTTTTATTATAAAAATAAAAATAAAAGATTATTTACTAATTATACACATAAGCCAATGATATTTAACCCTGTTTGAAACATGGACTCCTTGAGTCAAAGACCCCAGTAAGAACGAACCCTTCATAGACAGGTAGACAGACAATCAGATACTCAGAATCGGATTGTTTTTTTTTTTTCTCCAGCATTTGCGCGTCCTGGGTAAGACGATAAATTGCACCCGCGTCGTGGGTAGGACGATAAAATATATCCGCGTCCTGGGTAAGACGATAAAATACATCCGCGTCTTGGGTAAGACGATAAACTACACCCACGTCATGGTGATACGATAAACTACATCCGACAGCAAGGTCACTGGTCAGGAGGATTTGAGGAGTCTGAGACCATCTCTTAATTGTTGGTGTTCCCAGGTCCACCCTGACCTTGAGTGTTACCACCTTTTATAGCCCCAGCTAGGGCAAATAGTTAACCTCAAACCAGTTCGCGTCCTGAGTAAGAAGATAAATTACATCCGGCTTCGTGGGTATGACGATAAACAACATCCGCATCCTGGGTGAGACGATAAACTACATCCAACAGCAAGGTCACTGATCAGGAGGATTTGAGAAGCGTGGAACCACTTCTTAATTGATGTTGTCCACTCTGACCTGGGGTGCTAGCAACTGTTGGGGTCCCAGCTAGTGGAAAATAGTCCCCCCTCCAAAAAAAAAACATTATAAAAGTTTAAAAATAGGTTTTAATATCAGCAATGCATTTCGTAAAAAATTATTACCAGCAAAAAATTTTAAAGAAAAATTGATTACCGGCAATATATTATTGAAAAAATATTACCAGCAAAAAAAAAAAAACTTCTCGGTATTAAATAACCCACTGAGGTGTTGATATTCTGTAAAACAAACCAAACCAAACCAACCCAGCATTTGCATGTGCTTTTCTTCACATAGCACCCTTATGCACACTATACACTTTTCAGCCAGCCATCTTTGAAAGAAATTGTAGTCAGTCAATTTTCACCACTATATGGGGAGATAATCAAGCCGTGATAAACCGTGGAAGCTGTGAATTATATCTTTCTCTTATGGAGTAGCAAAGAAAAATGGCGGTCGTGCAGAGAATGATGACACACGTTTAAATGTTAAACATGGATGCAACAACAAATCAAGAGACGCCTAGCGGTTGACACAGTCATTAGTGGACGGGTGCGTTTTCTTCCAAGCAGTGGCAGGATGCATTTTCTTTTATTTAATTCATGTATAGCGAATATAAATGTTATTTTTATCTGGCTCTTGCGAGCACCCTGACACCCCAGGTTAAGAAACCCTGCTCTAAACAACTGAAGACCATCATTCCACAAATGGGACGCTGAGAATTAAATGGTTAATTTGTTAATTAATTAATGAATCACGACAATTCACAAATAGAAGTAAACAATGATTTTCTAGGGATCAATAAAGAAATATTTTGCAAATATAGCATCATATATTGCAATTTATAATATACTAATTGGCAAATAATATACTAATTGGTAAATAATGTACAATTGGCAAATAATATACTAATATACTAATTGGCAAATGGTATATAATTGGCAAATAATATACTAATTGACAAATAATATACTAATTGACAAATAATATATAATTAACAAATGATATACCAGTTTTCAAATAATATACCAATTGTCAAATAATGTACTAATATACTAATTGGCAAATTATATATAATTGGCAAAAAATATACGAATTGGCAAATAATATATTAATTGTCAAATAATATACTAATTGGAAAATAATATATAATTGGCAAATAATATACAAATTGTCAAATAATAAACTAATTGGCAAATAATATACAACTGGCAAATCATATACCAATTGTCAAATAATATACTAATTGGCAAATAATGTACTAATATACTAATTGGCAAATAATATATAATTGGCAAACAATATGCTAATATATAATTGGCAAATAATATGCTAATTAGCAAATAATATACTAATTGCCAAATAATATACCAATTGTTAAATAATATATTAACTGGCAAATAATTTACCAATTGGCAAAGTGATTTCTGTCTCTAAAATTGTAAAAAAGAAATATATTTCAGCATGGAAAATGACTTTCTAAAATCTCCGATTTTCACAGAATTAATAAGGAATATAAACGGTTCGGTTCAGAAGAAATGTCATCGTGGTTTCTGCCGTCACAAATGTGGAATTACCAAAACTTCGTAAAGCTTAATGGCGGCGGACGAAGTCAGAAAATCAAAGAATAAAATAAATGATTTAAAGAGCGCCACCTATTGAACTTTTCATAGCCTATTTGTTCAAATGCCTGGCTTCTATGGACATGAGTCACTTGAGTTCAAATCTTACCATAAATTCCTCATTTCGTTTTCATCCTTCTTGTTTGATGGTCGTAAGATAACGTCTTACAACTTGTACCAAAAGAACAGAATAAATATTTCCTTAGCATCCTTTTTTTTTTTAAATCTCTTTTGTTCAATATTTTATGGGAAAATGTTTTCTTTCTTCATTTTATGCCAGCATTTACATCTATGCCCATACTCGACTACTTTCTTCGCCATCAGCATTCATTTTTTTTTATCGTTTTAGTCTTCTCTTATTCTATAGATTCAATTTCTTCTTTTTCTATTTGTTTTAATTTATTTTTATTACGTTCTTCTTCTTCTTCTTTTTCTTCTTCTTCTTCTTCTTCTTCTTCTTCTTATTATTATTATTATTATTATCAATTCATTCTATTTTATTTTCTTCGTTCTTATTTTATTTCTGTTCCTGCTCCTGCTCCTCATTCTTCTTCTTCTTCTTCTTCTTCTTCTTCTTCTTCTTCTTCTTCTTCTTCTTCTTCTTCTTCTTCTTCTTCTTCATTTCCTATCCATTCATTCTATTTTATTTTTCTCCTTTGTTGTTCCGTTCTTATTTTATTCCACCTCTTTCTACTCCTCTTCCTTTTTTTCTTCTTATCTTCCTCATCCTACTCTGTTTTCTTGTTGTTGTTGTTGTTGTTGCTGTTGTTGTTGTTCTTCTTCTTCTTCTTATTATTATTATTATTATTATCAATTCATTCTATTTTATTTTTCTCTTTTGTTTCGTTCTTATTTTATTTTTGTTCCTGCCCATCCTCCTGCTCCTCCTCCTCATTCTTCTTCTTCTAGTTTTTATAAATTCTTATACATTCATCCTATTTTTCTTTCTCGTTTTCTGTTTCTTTCTTCTTTTATTCTCTGTTTTGCATTCTTCTTCTTCTTCTCCTTCTCCTCCTCCTTCTTCTTCTTCTTCTTCTTCTTCTCACTCCTCCTCCTCTTCTTGTATTTTTACAAGTTTTTTTTATTCTTCACCTATTTTAACCAGTTTTTCTCTTTTCTTTTCATTTATTTTGCTTTCATTCCCTCTTTTGCTTTCTTCTTTATAATCATCATCATCTTTATATTTTCCCAAATTTTTTTCCATTCTCAATAATTTCTTTTATATTCTTTCTTTACTACCTAACCGCTTTCCCAACCCTACCCCGTTCTCCGAGTTGCCATTCTTTTTTCCCGCCCTTAAAAATACCCCCCCTACCAGCAATAACTTTCAATTTTAGGCATTCCTCTTGGTCGTAATTTTCAATTATATTCCAGTTAAAAATCTGCCCTTCAATTTCCTCATCGTAATCTTTATGCCTGTCGATTTGTCTCTCATCTTATATTTTGCTCTCCCCCACCCCGTTCCGCTACAGCAACAGTTATTTTATCATTTTATTCTTCTACACAATCTTCTTCCGTCTCCGTTTCTTTTCTTTTCGGCAGTCATTGTCGCATTTTGTCACCTGACTTTCTGTAAAGGCTTTCATACCGTGTCTTCGTTGTTAATCGAATATCTGGACATCGATCGGCACCTTTTTTCAATCTGCAGATCTTTTGACAATTTGGGGCCATTGGGAAATTATGTTGTGAAGAATATGGAAAGAAATTCGATTGACTTCTCTGTCAGGTGCGTCATATTCAGTATTGGAATTGGCGCTGTTTCATCAATATGTCAAATTATTTATTTTGGTCTGTTTGCTTGGTTTTACGAACATCCGTACACAGCAACATAAGTATTAGAATTTGGATTCTTCCTTCGTTCTTTAGTTAGCACGTACGTCACACCCTGCCAATAACTCATAATTAATGGACTATTCCATTTTGGTCGGGACGAAAGAGAAAAAGACATATTAGAAGAGTTGTTTACTTTCAAAAAAAGAAGAAAAAAAAGCAAGAAAGAAAGAAGGAAGGAAAAAAGGAAGTTTAGGCCAATAATTAAAAAAATAATGGACTATTCCTATTTGCTCGCGAGGAAAGTTGGAAAACACATATCAGAAGAGTTGTTTGCTTTCAAAGAAAGAAAGAAAGAAAGAAAGAAAGAAAGAAAGATGAAGGAAGTCTAGTTCAATAATTAAAAAATAATGGACTATTCCATTTTGATCGCGAGAAAAGTTTGAAAACACATATCAGAAGAGTTGTTTGCTTTCAAAGAAGAAAGAAAGAAAGAAAGAAAGAAAGAAAGAAAGAAAGAAAGATGGAAGGATGTCTAGTCTAATAATTAAAAATAATGGACTATTCCATTTTGATCGGGAGGAAAGTTGAAAAAGACACCAGAGACGTTGTTTGGTTACAAAGAAAGAAAGAAAGGTTAGACACACCATGATAATAATTCATAAATAATGGACTATTCCGTTTTGATAGCAAGGAGAAACAGAAAAGACATATCAGCGATGCTGTCTCCTTTCCAAGAAAGAAAGAAGGAAAGAAAGAAAGAAGTCCAAACATGCCATGCCAATAATTCATAAATAATGGATTACTCTGTTTTGATAGCGAGGAAAGACGGAAAAAACATACCAGCGATGTTGTTTCCTTTCAAACAAAGAAAGAAAAAGGCTAGACATACCATGCCAGTCATTCATAATGGTCTATTCTGTTATGATAGCGATGAAAAACAGAAAAGATAGATCAGAGACGCTGCTTTTTATTTTTAATGAAAGAAAGAAGGAAGAAAGTAAAGAAGAACAAATAAGAAACAAAGAATGCCAGACACATATCTGCCAATATCTCATAAATAATGGACAATTCCATTTTGAAGAAAAAGACAAAGAAAGACGAAAAAGTATTCCACTTGGACATCTTTCCCCTCAGAGGAATGCTTGTTAGCTTCTCGCTACTCTGTCCCTATTTGCATGAGATATTCGGGTGAACTACATTTCTTGGTTCCACCGGTCGAGAGCCACACATCTCGGACCTACCCTGTCTCCTTCCACAGAGTCGGAACGTCTCCATTTCGTTCGTATTCCATTTGTGAAGGGGAAGTTCCACTCATGACAGATTCTTCCCCAGAGCTATCATCTTCTGGAACAGACTCCTGAGAGAATATTTCCATGATCACTACAATATTAACTTTTCAAGCCCAGAATTGATAGTTCTCTATGCTACATGTGTTCATAATATGAACAGTGCTCTATCCTACATGTGTTCCCTATTCTACATGCATCCACTGTTCTCCATGTGTTCATAATATGAAAAGTTCTTTATCCTACGTGTGTCCACTGTCCTACATGTGTTCTCTATCCTACATGTGTTCATAATATGAACAGTTCTCTATCCAACGTATTTCCTGTCCTACATGTAATCTCTCCCCTACATGTGTTCTCCCTCCTACATGTGTTCTCCCATCCTACATGTGTTCTCCCATCCTACATGTGTTCTCCCATCCTACATGTGTTCTCCCATCCTACATGTGTTCACTCTCCTACATGTGTTCATAATATGAACATTTCTCTATCCTACATGTATTCTCGATACTACGTGTGTTCCCTACCCTACATGTCTTCTCCCACATGTGTTCCTAATATGAACAGTTCTCTATCCTATGTGTGTCCTCTGTCTTACAGGTGTTATCTATCGTGCATGTGTTCATAATATGAACAGTTCTCTCTCCTACATGTATTTATTGTCCCACATGTGTTCTCTCTCCACATGTGTTCCTAATATGAACAGTTATCTATCCTACATGTGTTCTCTATCCTATGTGTTCATAATATGCACCAATTGTCACCTCTTATACGTATTTTCATAAGTCCAGCTCGTTCATAATCCATTGAAGTTGAATAAAGCTCCTGATAAGTTAGACCTGCGTCCGTCTTTTCACTACAAACACAAACAAAAGAAAAGTTATAATAATTTATCATAAAAAGGTAATAATTAAAATTGTTAAAAAACTGAATATTTATTTACTTTTCGGTTTACTATAATTTAAAATTTGATGAGATATCTGACATTGGATTATTTTTGCAATGTCGAATGTTGGACAGGCTTCCTCTTAAATCTTCTTGCAACGATTCTAGCCGTGACTGATTATTTTTTTTATAATTGCAGAGAAGATCGCTTCACACAAATATGACGTTTAGAACATTAGTATTAACTATATTTTTTAAAATCGTTTCACCTCAACCAAGCCGATGATACTAATAAAACGTATGGGATTATTGGGAGTGAAAGAGAATGAATCGGAAACCCTCTCCTAAATAAGTAACAAGGGATAAACCTCTACTCCTGTTCAAATGATCGAGGAGGAGTTAATAAGACGATAGGCGGACACATATACTTATATTATTATTATTATTATTATTATTATTATATTTCAATTTCTACTATGGTCTCACTACATACATTGTCTGCGGAAAGACCTAAGGCAGATAGTGGTGTGTTGTTATGGCTACAATTCATGATTTGTTTTTCTAACTCCCTAGCTTTTACACGGGCAAAATTCTCCTTAGTGTGAGGACTGTACTTATCAAGACAATCTTTTGTATTTCTCTTAAGTTGTTATTTCCAGGAAAATTTTCAATGTGTTGTTGTGTTCCTTTTTTATCATTCCAAGAGCACCTACTGTGAATGGTACTATTCTTGTTTTCAATTTCTACATTTTTTCTATATTATTATTATCATTAATAATAATAATAATAATAATAATAATAATAATAATAATAATAGGTTTCCCCACAAATATTAACAGTGGGGTGCGTCAGTAGGAGAAATAAGAGAGTAAAAGTCTTCTAAATATTCCAGCAATTGTGTCATTATTCTTGTTGATTTTAGAAATTCTATCTTCTCCATACTACCAATAATGTCTCGTTCTTTCAATCATTGGTTCGCCCACTAGTTCTCAATCGGTATTTCCCGGAAATCTAAAGTTTTCCAAGAGGTCATTAGTGGTTCTGCATGAAACTGATAAATTGGCTAATGCATTTTTCAGTAATTTTTGTTTAATTTTATATTTGTAATTTTGCTATACATGTAGAGCATACTGTTGGGAAATCCTTCGATATTATAATAAAATCTGCAACCATTTATATTATTTAAGATTATAATAATCATCATGTACTTAACAATGTCTATATGGCCACCTTCATAGTTAGTGGACAGCATCTATACGTGGCCGATTCGTTGAGTGACTCACTTGAGTGCAGGACGCATGCACGGTGTCCATATATCAGGTTTACCACTGAAATATAAAAGAGATAGATACTAATAATGATATATAATCAATTTTATGCAGACGTTGCCTGAGATATGAAAACTATTTCAAGTGTTTCACAAGAGTAAAAAAATGGTTGAGAAATGCTGGTCTGGAATTTCTTAAGGTAGATGTTTATTGATAAAATGGTTATAATGAATGAAGTGTATAATATAAATATATATACTTTTCTGGTTGCCTCTGACTTAAACGAAGCTAGATAATATTTATGTTAATATTCGCATAATATAACGGTCTAGAACAATCATTTTTGTGCTAACGTTGCCTGAGACATAAATTAAACTTAAATAAATAGAAATATAAAACATAAATAAAATAATAAATACATAAATAAAACATAAATAAAACATAAATATCGATTGGCGCATGACTTGAAGGGGTTAATTTTGTAGTATTAAGAAAATAGTCCACGAAGATGTAAGACCGGCATTATATATATATATATATATATATATATATATATATATATATATATATATTTTTAAGCGTTTCACGCCAAGCAAGGCGGGAAGCCACTAGGATGCAAGGGGTTACAGGAAATAGCAAGATACGATAGGAGTGATAGAAGAAAGGATGAGGGTAGTGGATAGATCAAGGCAACTGAGTTGTCGATTGACATTACACTTGAATAGCTGGAGATTATAGCTCGCAGGGAAACAGGAGAAGGGAAGGGAGTTCCACAGGCGAGAGGTGCGAGACATGAAGCTATTAGAGTAGAAGAGACGGCTACATTTAGGAGTTTCGACAGTGAAGGGGTGAGAGCGGGGTGCTAGCCTCATAGGGTGCTGGAACTCATGACGTCTGGGAACCAGCGAATGCAGATCCTCGGAGCAATTTCCATGAAAGTATTTGTAGAACAGACAGAGGGAGGCGACGGCGCGTCTGTGAGAAAGTAACTGTAGACGAGACGCCAGGGCAGGGCCAACCATATTGCATATCCGCCTCTGGAGCCTATCAAGAACCCCGAGGCAGACAGAAGGGGCGCCAGACTATATATGGCAGCAATACTCCATGCAAGGGCGAATTGTGGATTTGTATAGCTGGAGGATCGACTCAGGGGAGAAAAACTTCCTAGCGCGGCTCAGGGAGCCAACTTTATTACGGACCCCCTCCTTCCTTCCTTCCTTTCTTCAACTTTATCGATAGCGAAGGTAGAGGAGGATCGTGATCTGTGTTATTTTGTTTTTTAACATTTTACATTTTTTTTGTAAAATATATTTCTTTCCAAAGGGGGGGGGGTCTCTTTCTGATTGATCAGACACAGCCGAGCGGAATCGATTAAGAAACAAACACGGTAGGTGACAAAAAACTTGGTGACAGTTGAAACTGCTTTCTCTCTCTTCAATATAGCGGCGTTTCGCCTACGTCGTCAAAACGGGTCCATCCATTCGACTGGGAGACCAATTCTCCTCACAATTTTGCAAACACATCTTTTAGGTCCGTATACTGAGACATTTGCCAAACGTCCGTCCAGCCCACAGGCCTGGACGAAGACTAACTTTTTCGTTTCACTATTCGTTTCCGTTTTCTTCTTGTCACGTGGTCAATTTTCAAAATAATAACTTTTTCCCATTATGGGTGGAATGGGGTCATCGACGCCCTCTCTCATCTTCAGGATCAGAGAAAGTTTAGTTCAAAATGTTTCAACCTATCCCAACCGGAACCTATCCGCGTAGATCATGCTGTTAACACCTTGACCAAAAGAGAAGGAAAGGGGACACTTTGGTCAATCCTTGTCGCCACTAAGTCTACCAATCTCTTTGGGTGTACTATGGGCTCTTTATTTTAGAATGCTTCTAAAATACAAGCAATGGTATATTTTTTTAAAACAAATTTAGAACGGGGTTCGTAACAATATATATATATATATATATATATATATATATATATATATATATATATATTTTTACTTTTCTGGTTGCCTCCATCTGACTTAAACTAAGCTAGATAATATTTATGCTAATATTCGCGCTATATAACGGTCTAGAACAATCATTTTTATGCAAACGTTGCCTGAGACATAAATAAAACTTAAATAAATGAAAATATAAAACATAAATAAATAAATAGAAAAATAAATACATAAATAAAACATAGATATCGATTGACCCATGACTTGAAGAGGTTAGGTTTGTAGTATTAAGAAAATAGTCCACAAAGATGTAAGAACGGCATTACACACACACACACACACACACACACACACACACACACACACACACATATATATATATATATATATATATATATATATATATATATATATATATATATATATATATATATATTTTTCCGCTTGCCTCTACAATCTGACTTAAACAAAGCTAGATAATTTTTATGCTAATATTCCCGCTACATAACAGTCTAGAACAGTGCTACTCAAACTGGTGGTACGCGGACCGGTGCCGGTACACGAACCATCAGCTACCGGTACGCGACCACTGTCCAGGTCATGTTAAGGAATCATTTAGATTAAGGTTATATAATTTTTGTTTTTGTGTTAATAAACTGTTTTTTTTATCACTTTTTATATGTTTTTATATTGAATTATTTTTTTGCAAAATAAATGGAAGATAAAAAAAATAGTCCCCTTTTATTATATTGATTTTATATATCGTTTCCGGTATAAATTAATATTACAACAAAATATTAGAGGTACGTGACACATTAAGAATAAAAATGCCGGTCCGCCATATTAGATAGTTTGAGAAGCACTGGTCCAGATCAATCATTTTTTATGCAGACGTTGCCTGAGATATGAAAACTGTTTCAAGGATTCCACAAGGGTAAAAAGATTGAGACACGCTAGACTAGCTTCTTCGAGACTGTCCAACTGATCTGATAAAAGAAAATCGAATAAACTAGTGTTTACTGGGTCCTCTTCCACGTTTTCTTTCACGTACATCTATCAATATCAATCTAGATGACGAGAGTCAGAAGCTTATCTCTTTTCTGATTAGTTATGACAGCCCAATGGCGTGGGGGGACTATTTTGTAACCTTCAATACCAAAACAAAAATGGTAGTCATTTTTCATCATCGTCGAGTTGACCCTAAATTCGTCACGATAAATGCTTGCACTCCGAAAGAGTCTCAGTCCAGGGTATGACGATAAACTACCTCTAGGAGCAAGGCCTTTGATCAGGAGAGGTTTTGAAGAGCGTGAAACCACCTCTTAATTACTTTGTTCCCAGGTTCACACTGACCTGGGGTGGTAGCACCAGTTAGGGTCCCAGCTATGGGCAAATAATGAACACTATGAAAGTATTTTGGCACTTTCCATAAACTAATGTGCCGTAGTCATTTATTTAATCGTTTGTCTGAAAGCTATCTTCATCATCCGCATGTTATTGTGTTGTTTTATCTGTTCTTGTATTTGTAGTTCACGTTGTTCTGGACAGCCATTAACAGTTATTTAATTCACTTTCTTTCTTTCTATTAAGGTGCTCTTTATTTATTTCTTTTAAGTGTGTGAGTTTTCTTATTCTTTCTTCATACTGAAAATTTTATTCTTGTTTTATTTTTTCTCTTTCACTAATTTCTTCTTTTTCTATTCCCGCCTCTCCTTATATATATATCGCCTTTTTAGTTATTCATTCCTTTCTTTTACTTTCCCCTCCTTTACTTTCCCTTTCTAAATTTCCTTCCTTCCTTCCTTCCTTCCTTCCTTCCTTCCTTCAGTCATTCATTCATTCATCAATTGATTCATTCATTTTTCTCTCGTGTTTCCTAGCCTCTTTAAAACACGCTTCCTTCCCTTCGAGTCAAAGATAGATACACACGCTTTCAGCACAATAATATACGCTTGCTTCCAAACAGAATATCTTTCGCATTCTCTTAATCCCCCACAAAAAATAAAGAAAATAAGGAATAGTTTCTTTTGCAAGATTCTTATCGTGACACATCCATCTTTGGCAACCTACATACGGGACTCCTGCGAAATATCCAAGTTTAGCCTTTTTCTCTTCTTGCATCTTTCGTATTTTTTTTTCGATTTTTATTTTTTAGTCTTATATTTTTTTAGGTTGACCTATTAAGTCCAATATTTTCTACCGCAGCCCATTTATTATTTTTAGTGGCTTCGTTACCGTCGATATTTCTTCATTTCTTTACTTTTTATCAACTTCATGGCTTCGTTTTGTTTCTTGGTTTTCCTGTGTCTATGTGTGTGTGTGTGTGTGTGTGTGTGTCTATGTGTATGTGTGTGTGTGTCTATGTGTGTGTGTGTCTTCTTTACAGTTTGTTTCGTCGTCTGCTTCTCTTCAAAGCGCCATTGATCACGTGTTTTGATCACGTGTTCAATCCTTTCACCCTTCAGTCTTCTTTCGCTTCCCACAAATGATGGCACACTTTAACTCTCACATCTCCAATTGGCTGCCGTTTTAGGATTTCACATTATACGACTTACTTTTTTTTTTATATTTCATTTACGTTTCGTTTGTCGTTTCTTTCAAATGTTATTCTTTATTGTTTGGGTTATTCCATTCTTTCCGAATTGCATTTTTTTTTGTCTTTCTTTCTTTCTTTCTTTCTTTCTTTCTTTCTTTCTTTCTTTCTTTCTTTCTTTCTTTCTCGTTTGCTTGCTGATTTTCTGATGTTCTTTCTTTCTACTATTTTTGTCATTGTCATATTTTTCATTTAATCTTATTTATCATTCATTCCTTTTTTCATTTTTCTTTTTTTTATTTTTTCATTGTCATTGCCATGTCTTTAATTTTCTTCTCTGCCTTCCTATATCAATTTTATTTCGCTTGTTCTTTGTCTAATTCTTTCTTTCTTTCTTTCTTTCTTTCTTTCTTTCTTTCTTTCTTTCTTTTCCTTAAGTACACCCAAATAGAATTTCTTTCTTCTTTCATTTTTCCTTTCTAATATATTTCATTGTCATCATATCTTTAATTTTCTTCACTCTCTTCCCATAACGACATTCTTCCTTCCTTTCCTTCCTTCCTTCCTTCTCTCCTTCCTTCCTTCCTTCCTTCCTTCCTTCCTTCCTTCCTTCCTTCCTTCCTTCCTCTCTCTCTCTTTCCTTCCTTCCTTCCTTCCTTCCTTCCTTCCTTCCTTCCTTCCTTCCTTCCTTCCTTCCTTTTCTTTCTTTCTTTCTTTCTATTTTTCATTGTCATTATCATATGTTTAATTTTCTTCTCTCTATTCCCATAACATCTCTCATTCATTCATTCATTCATTCATTTTTCCTTTCTATTCTTACATTGTCATTTTCTTAAGTCCTCCCATATCAAATTTCTTTCTTTCTTTCTTTCTTTCTTTAATTTTCGTCTCTGTCTTCCCGTACCGACTTTGTCATTTTTTCTTCACTAAACCTACTAATGACTATCGTCGTTGTTCTTGCTTACACTCTTCTGTTTTTAATCTATTTTTTATTGTATTTTTTCCACATCTTGCCTTTTTATCAATATCTTCTTATGCTTAAAAAAAGGGAGATAAACACAATTTTCTCCCTCCTTTTTCATCCATTCATTTTCATTTACTGTTTTGAAACCGTTTCATTTTTCATTTTCCTTCTACTCTCAGCATGTCTCCCTTCCTTTATTTCATTTTTTTCTTTCTTTCTACTATTTTTATTGCCTTCGCCATACCTTTACCGTTCTTCTCTGTCTTCACGTATTGATTTTCTGTCTTTTTCTTTCTTTCTTTCTTTCTTTCTTTCTTCATTCGTTCGTTTTCACTATTTTTTCAATGGCATTGTCATGTATATAATTCATTATGTTTTTCCGTATTCTACTTTCTTTCTTTCTTTCTTTCTTTCTTTCTTTCTTGTTTACGTTCTTTCTTTCTTTCTTTCTTGTTTACGTTCTTTCTTTCTTTCTTTCTTTCTTTCTTTCTTTCTTTCTTTCTTTCTTTCTTATTCGGAATAATTTTCCTCTTCTTTCTTTCCTTCCAAACATAACATCCGCCACTTTGTTTTTTTTTTCTTTTTCTTAAGTGGAACACATTATCCCCCCTCTTTCTTTTCCTTTCTTTCTTTCTTTCTTTCTTTCTTTCTTTCTTTCTTTCTTTCTTTCTTTCTTTCTTTCTTTTTTGTTCTGAACTATTTTTCTCTTCTGTCTTTCCTTCCAAACATATCCGTCACTTTACTTCTTCTTTTTCTTCATTGGAACCCATTATTCCTCTTCTTTCTTTTCCTTTCTTTCTTTTTACTTCTTTCTTTCTTTCTTTCTTTCTTTTCGAAACTATTTTTCTCTTCTTTCTTTCTTTCCAAACATATCCGTCACTTTACTTCTTCTTTTTCTTCATTGGAACCCATTATTCCACTTCTTTCTTTTCCTTTCTTTCTTTTTACTTCTTTCTTTCTTTCTTTCTTTCTTTCTTTCTTTCTTTCTTTCTTTCTTTCTTACGTTACTTCTCGCTACTATTTATGTGATTGTCAAATGTTTAATGTTCTTTATCTTCTTTCTTTCCTTCACATTTTTCTTTCTATTAATTTTCATTATCTTCGTCATTTCTTTAATTTTGTTCTATCTTCCTATATCCACTTCCTTCCTTCCTTCCTTCCTTCCTTCCTTCCTTCCTTCCTTCCTTCCTTCCTTTCCTTCCTTCCTTCCTCTCTCCTTCATTCCTTCATTCCTTCCTTCCTTTGTAATTTTCTTTTCCTATTCTTCGTCGTTTTTTTCCTTCACCCGTTCACGTCTTATTCTCTCTTCCTTAAATCCTCATGTCGGTTTCAATCTTTTCTTCTCAAAGAGACCACTCGACCAACCTCTTCAAATTCTTCTTCCTTCTTCATTGTCTACATTCCAGAACTCAATAGCCAACCTTCCGTTTGCTTGTCATCAACTTTTCATTTTGTCGTCTTTGATTTATGGCAATGTCAGCGTTATTTCTCGTTTTTAAAAGCACAAAATGGCCGACACAAACCAGTTGCTAAAATGAAAAATGCACGCATGCGCATTCTGACCACTGAATCTACGATAATCTTTTTTTTTTCTTTCAAGCATCGTTAAACGATACACAGGATAAAGCTTTCTTTATACATAAACCGTGACACAAACAATATATCTTGATTCTGAATAGGCAATTCCAGAACTCGATTTCGCGTTTTTCACTTGAAACAGTGTTGTTAAATGCATACTTGAGACCAAGTTAGGATATAGCAACGTCATCAATTCTTACTAGTTAGGAAAATGATAAAGCGAAATATTTAAGTAATACAGTAGAATCCCTGACAAACGGACTAAGAAGACCTTCCGGATATGAGGAATTGGTTACAAAGTCCGGATATCAGGGGTTATATTTAGATTAAAATAAAATAACTGAAATTAGGTTTAACATTTATTTTCAATGTTTTATAGTAAACAAAATAAGCTAATGGTGAGTGAAATATGACGGAATTGATTTTAAGGGAAAAGAAATAAATTATGTAATGTTAATGAAAATTCATTAAATTAAGTATGTCACTTATGCAAAACAAATAATGTAACGAAGATTTTTTAATCGCTGTTGCATGATTCTTTCTCTTCTAATGTCATTCTCAACTTTTTCCGCATTTCGTTTTACTTTTGTTTTTGAATTTTTTTTAAACGAAAGACACTTTTAACTCTGCAGGCGTTATTGCAATTGTCATAGGTGAATGTTAACTTTCTTTCCATAAAACTGACACCCTTTTCAATAGCTTTTTTAATTTCAGTCCAGGTTTCATCACAATCATGTTTTTTTTTTTATTATTTCCTTGTTCATTGTGACAGTTTGAACGCTGGAGAATAGTTTATTTGGAAGATTTTATATCATACAAGGTTGATTTTACGTTGAACCCAGTCATTAGTTACAGTAAACTTTCACCAACACCTAGTCTGTTTAAAATTTCCTCTATTTGCGATAACTTCAAAGATGTTCTTTTCCTTTTATTCCCATCATGTTTTGCACCAATACATGCCATTAAGGTGAAATAAGCATAAGCAATTATCCAAAGTAAATTTCTTGAAAAACAGGAATTTCAAATCAGTTACATATCGCCCAAATAGTTCAAATATACACATCAAAATCATATCCGGATATGCGAGATTCCGGATATGAGGGCTTCCGGATTTGAGGCGCTCCGGATCTGAGGGATTCTGGATATGAGGCATTCCGGATATCAGGGATTCTACTGTATCACACTAACTACGTATATATCGTCATTAGTTATGTGCCGTGTCCGTTCAGTACCTAGGGGATCATGGTTCTCCACATCTTCTTGTAGCCCTAAGCAAGATTCGACTCATTTCCGTCCTGGATCTTCCTTCCATTCGCACAAACCTGTAAGATAATATACTTGCTATTTCATTCTAAGCCCCCCGCCTTCCGCCAATACGCCCTGTGCGTAAAACTTTTCCCAACCGCCGTTCCTCTTAATATGTGACAGAAATCTCAATTGTCTCTTTCTGATTTTAGTTATGAGTGTCTTTCTTAATACTTTGCTTAGCATTTAGAAGGCATCTTTCGATATCCCATTGCACTGTTAAAACACTTCCAATATTTCTGTACTTGTTTGGTTATGACATCTCCAATTTGTAATTTGTTTGTTGGGCTGATCCCTTTTGCTAATAACAATGCATTCTGTCTTCTTATAATTGATGTTTAGTCCTTTCTTTTCGATTTGGTTTACTACCTTCTCTCGTAGTGTCTGGATATTACTCTCTGTAGCTTCCATTATGCCTTTTGTGTGTTAAATTCTCCAAGCCCTCTTTCCTCGTTCAAACAGCCTCGTTACTCACTGTACATTATATTCTCAGTGGAATGTAATTCTTAACGTCAGCTGTATCTAAAATTTTCAACTTTGTATCAACATTGTCACAGAAACATATAAAAGCACAACACATAAACTGTACTTTGCGAAGAATATGATAAAAAATAAACTTTTCATCAGGCAATTATTTTAATCATTTCTTCCCATGCAAAGCGATAATGACACTAAGATGCAAGATGCTACTGGGAGTGAATGAAAATGAGAACATTTTAGAAGAAAGAACCGGAAACTAAATCCGAAACAGGAAAACTCTATACTGTGCAAATGACCAAGGAGGAGGCTGAAAAGGGCGGTACGCTAACCTATCTACTCCAATTAATAGCTTATTAAAACTGAGCTCCACGAGGCGGTGTAATGTTTATCAAGCTTGTCTCGCTAGAACAATTACGACTAAGTAGTGATTTGTATCCTTATTGGGTGCACCATACTTTCGGCCTTGTGCCACAACTAAGATACATTTGGAAAAACACTATTAATAATTGAGATACGTGTAATACACTTTCATTAGCCGGAAAAGCAATTAAATATCATTTCTTCGTTACCGTTATTATTTTGATTTTACTCCGGTCACGGTAAACAGATAGGTGCCCAATGAGGCTTTGAACGTTTACTGGGAGGCAGAGGCACCTCAGACTAACGTGATCCATTGTTAAAGATGATGGAAAAATGTTTGGTTAATTTCATCACCCCACTACAAAGAAACTCTGGAATGTGTCAAAAGATATAAGATATATCGTTTAAACATCTGTCTGTGTGTGTGTGTGTGTGTGTGTGTGTGTGTGTGTGTGTGTGTGTGTGTCTCTCTCTCTCTTTCTCTCTCTCTCTCTCTCTCTCTCTCTTGTGTTGGTGCGTGTTCAAGTGGTACGCTTGAACACACACGAACACAAAAGCACAAACATATACATGAAAGTAAAATATGCCTCACTTTTATTTATTAATAAATCAAAACCCTGTATTTCGCTCACTGGGGTAGACTGTTCTAGTTCCACGTGCCATGTCTGATGGATGTCAGTTGTCAGTTATCTCCTGTTAATTTCTTTCTGAAAGTTCTCCACTGCCTTAACCGAACAGTCTACCCCAGTGAGCGAAATAAAGGGTTAAGTTCAACATTCCAACCACTTGAAGAAGGCCGGAGCGTACAACGGCCGAAACGATGTAATAAATATGGCGACAAAGATGAGAAAAATAGTTCGAATAATGTAAACATTGTACATAATACCTCATCTCAGAAATATAGACAGATACTGAAAGGCCGAAACGTTGTAATAAATATGGCGACAAATATGAGGAAAATAGTTCGAATAATGTAAACATTGTACATAATACCTCATCTCAGAAATATAGACAGATACTGAAAGGCCGAAACGTTGTAATAAATATGGCGACAAATATGAGGAAAATAGTTCGAATAATGTAAACATTGTACATAATACCTCATCTCAGAAATATAGAGAGATATTGTAGGGCCAAAACACTGTAATAAATATGGCAACAAAGATGAGGACAATAGTCCGAATAATGTACATAATACTTCATCTCAGGGATATAGACATATATATATATATATATATATATATATATATATAGAGAGAGAGAGAGAGAGAGAGAGAGAGAGAGTGAGAGAGAGGGAGGGATAGATAGATAGGTAACTGAGAGTGCTAAATTCACATATATAATTAATAACGCTTACTGAAATTGCAATTTGCCAATCTAACTCACAGTTTCACGTGTGTGTGTGTACATATATATATATATATATATATATATATATATATATATATATATATATATATATATATATATATATTGTATGGGGTGGGTACATAGTTGTTGGCAATTATCACAAAATTAATGAAAAAGAAATCGGAATATTATTTTTAAACGCTGATTTTCTCTCTCTTTTATGTTCAATTTAAATATCAGAACCATGTTCATTTTAATAGTGTTAGGAGATATGGGAAGCTTACAAATAAAATTTCAATATAAAAAATGAAAGGAAAGAAAAAATCGATGAAATATTAGATTAAATTTCTGAAGCAAGAAAATACACAGACACACACACAAACACACACACACACACACACACATATATATATATATATATATATATATATATATATATATATATATATATATATATTATATACAAATGAATCATTCGTACATAAAGTAAATTAGTTAAGTTAGTGAGATAAAATGGCAAATTCACTTCGCTAAATAATTTTTAAAAATGCATTCACCCACTAACCATTCAATGAATGTTATGATTCTTATTTTTTTAAATTATAAAGTGTATTTGGTGTCCCTTAAGTGCGTTGGTTTTTTTTTTTATTAATTTTGTCGACTGCACAGTATAGTAAGCACAGTTGGGCTGTGAGAAAAAGAATCCCATGACACAATTCATTCCGCCAGAAATTTGGAAGTGGCATGTTGTACTGCTTGGCATTCGCACCGGAAGCTCCAGTACAAACATTTCAGCTTGTTTAGATGAAAATCTGATCACAGTGCAGAGGATTTAGAGAGAGTTGGTGATTACGAAGGCATGGCAGCTTGACAAACACATTCTGATCTTTCTGATGAGAAAAAAGACTACCGAATTTGTTGGTGAGGGCCTCAGGCTCAATACGGTGCCCTATATAAAGTGTTTTGAGGATGAAGTACTGCCCTGGATCAAGCTGCCTGCTGGAAGATCATATATCTATCAACGGGACTCCTCACCATGCCGCATAAGCAGGAGGACCCAGTCATGGCTGTCAAACAATTTCTGCGATCACATCACCCCTTACCTCTGGCCATGTAACTCCCCAGACCCCCTTGATTATTATGTGTGGGGCGCAGTTGAGCGAGAGCCCAACAAAACTCCTTGTAACACCAAAGGTGAACTGAAGGGAAGGATTATGGCAACATTCACCAACTTAAACAAGGAGACCATCCAGAAGAGTTACTTTGACACGGGGGTGGTAGTATCTGCTAAAGTCCCTTGTCTGGGATAATACCTCTGCCCATTAAAAACTGGATTGTTCACACGTTTGGCTCACTCGATAAGATGGATCTCGAATCGTTCTGTCTTCTATTTAGGAGAAGGCTGTTTTACATAAAACCTGCGGCTTCGGTTATCTTCAGTGATTGTGTTGCGGGGCCGATAAGGAGGTCGACCCCAGAAGCTGGTTTGTGTTGAAGAAACGTGTGAACAACCAAGACAATGAGGAGACAAAGACACAGGTTTATATTAAAAAAAAGAAAGTTTTATTACAGCAAAACGACATGCGTTTTTTACAACAAAACAAGAAAGGATTGGTCTGGTAGGCTGGAAGGTCATTGGTTGGCAAGTTGGTCGGTGTCGGTGTCTATGTGAAATTAGATTTTGGATCGCTCTTACGGATATAAAAATAGAAGCATGCTGCTTCTTGAGGTTCAAAACAATTTCGGAGGCCTGTTTGATCTACACGTACGCACACAAGAGTTGAGCCAGCAGCCACCTAAAGCCTTGTCCACGCACTGACACAAACATTAAGCTGACCATCATAATGTAAGCCTGTTCACACATATTCCAAAACAGTACGATCACTAAATTACTTGATAAACAAACTTGACTGCCAGGGAAATTGGGCATTTTATTCTTATTTTATATTTCAGTGAAGAATATATAAATCTTATTTCATTTGATGCTCTACTTCTTCTTTTCCATCAGAAAGTAACAATTTTTTGTTCCATTTAAAATTTGGAATCTCGACACTCAGATAACAACAAAAACCTGGGTACGGATTCCGACAAGAAATTAATGATTGTTGATATCAATCGGTAAGGCGGCTACTAACAATTTGATATTTTGCTGGTACTGACAAACACAAACCTTTTTCTGGGACCCAGAGCAATACACCATTTTGGACTTTGAAAACCCAATTTCGTCACAATTCCTTTCATTGAAAGTTGAATAAAATTAATTTAAATTTACAAGCAACAAAATTTTCTGCTTATTCCTTTTTTTTTTATTTGCCCTGAAATATAGAAACTTTTTTTCCAGACCAGTCTAGAATTTTTTTATAAAAAGATCCTGAACAACCATTTAGTGTCGTATGTATGACCGAACTTTTTGCCTGGTTCAGTCAAAACACCTTTTTCTTTCTGGCTTGTTTAACCATATAATTAATGAAACCAAATGTTTTGAATTTTCTTTGTTTAACGGTTAAATTTACACCACTCCTAACCATGGGTATATAACACCTGATTTTGAAAATATCATATATATATATATATATATATATATATATATATATATATATATATATCTTTATTTAAAATATTTTACATGCAGGCACTTCAAACTTTGTACTTTGAGTTAACATTAATAGGAACTGAAAAAACATATTATTTAGGTAAGAAAATCAGGTACTGAAAATTGTAATTAAAAATAGGAAAAATTGCGTTGGGTATTATATACCCATGGTTAGTGTTCTAGGGCCATAGTGATACACGCTTGGGCAATCATGTCTCTTTCGATTCATGACTGACTCGGAAGAAAATATTCCCGAAGCATGCACCGGCCTAGTTTTTCCAGATATTCAATACATAGCTGATGGAGATGAAGAGATGGATTCATTTCTTTGCCAAAAGATATTTACGCGTAGGTGTTGGTGACGAACTCGACTGGAATTCCTAGTTTGTTATGTTGACATTCCACTCTACTTTAAATGAAAGGTTACAAAAGAAACGTCCACCAATACTGGAAGGATCAATGGAAGATACTGGAACGGAAAAACCTATTTTCCTGAAAAAATATTTTCAGTGAAAAGTTTTATAAATTTCAACCAAAAATTAATACTGGCTGTTCGGTCAATGAATACCAAATGTTTCTTTTGCAACCTAGGAAAGGTTACTGAATGAGGAAGAACCAAAATGGAGGTTGGAAATGAATAGTGTCCAAAGTATTTATGAAGATTGGATCATAAACATTAGTGTTCGTAGGTACGGTATATAAATCTATCTATGTCTCTTCATTATCTATCTATCTATCTATCTATCTATCTATCTATCTATCGTAATCTAGAAAAGGTTACTGAAAGGGTAATTACGAAAATAGAAGTTGGAAATAGAATGGCAATCTTTATAAGATCAACAAAATACTATACTACTTAGTCAGAATATTACCCCACATTTACAACAGTGTCCAAAGTATTTATGAGGATTGGACCATAAACATTAGTGTTCGTAGGTACGGTATATAACATTATCTAAATCTCTTCATGATCTATCTATCTATCTATCTATCTATCTATCTATCTATCTATCTATATATTCATGAATTATTCATACAAAAAAGGTTAATGATTTAATTGGCGAGAAATCCATCATCGCCAACAATTCAAAAAATATACAAAAACCCCGAACCTCTTTATGCATGAAAAGATCCTTGTTTTTATAAATTTCAGTTGCATAAGTTCTTATTATTTTTACAAGCTTTTTTCTGTTCCTACAGACATCCTCAGGTATGGAATATATTTTGTTCTTGTTTTTACTCTCAGTAATAAGAGGACAACGAAAATAGATGTATTGTAATCCGAAAAATGCTATGAGAAATGTGTTATTGTTTTGGAGCGTGCAGTCGCAACGCTGAGTTTGAATTTAAATTTTAAAGTTGTGCGTTCTTGTACAAAGTGATAAGAGAATTCTTTTTTACTGGTAAATTTTCCGTCAAAGCGGCATGAACTATATTGTTCAATAATTACAGTAATGTCGCACTTATTATCCGAAAGTTGCACTTGGATCAGTTATTTTAATTTCAATAAAGGTGCAATTAATTTACAAATTCATGAATTATTCACACAAAAAACAAGTACAAAAGTTAATGATTTAATTGGCGAGAAATCCATCATCGCGAACAATTCAAATAATATACAAAAACCCCGAACCTGTTTATGCATGAGAATATCCTTGTTTTTATAAATTTCAGTTGCATAAGTTCTTATTATTTTTACAAGCTTTCCTCTGTTCCTACAGACATCCTCAGGTATGGAATAGATTTTGTTCTTGTTTTTACTCTCAGTAATAAGAGGACAACGAAAATAGGTGTATTGTAATCCGAAAAATGCTATGAGAAATGTTATATATATATATATATATATATATATATATATATATATATATATATATATTGTAACCTAGAAAAGGTTACTGAATCAAGAATAATCAAAACGGAGGTTGAAAATGAATTGGTAATCTTTATAACATCAACAAAATACAATACTCGCCAGCGGCGTGAAGTAGGTAAACCACTGCTAGTGGTGGATAATATGGAGAAATCCAAACCCGTGGTCTCTGGCAAGAAATTGCCCGTAGACCCCGCATACGTAGGATCGGGTATCTGTCTACCTCCCCGGACGAGACCCCAGCTTTCTACGTAGCATCGTCCGGGTTCCTCTCTGACCAAAAGCAGAGAGTTCGACACAACAAGAGCTTCCCACGCTGACAGCCCACGCTGCCCGCAAAGGCAGCATATTTTCCCCACTTGCAATAGTGTCCAAAGTATTTATGAGGATTGGGACATACCTAATAGTGTTCATAGGTACGATATATAACAGTTTCCTTGTAGGGAAACGGTTAATATTACCATTTGATTTTAGAGTTAATATTTTAATTTTCTCTTTCCAGGGTAACATTTTATATTTTTCCACTAATGAATTTAGTAATTCATCCAAATCTTTACATTTATCTCAGTTATCCGTTTCTAAATGCTTATCAATTGACATCATTTTTTTCTGGAGAGCGTGTAATGTTTCTTTAAATTTTTGTTTAATATAAGCCATCCTGTTTTTCGGGGTCACATATTTGATTGGCGATCAATCTCGAGAGCTAGCAGTGACATTCAAGTCTTCTCAACGTTTAGATTCCGGTTGAAACGCTTCTAAATGTACAGTCCTACCTCGTCTTAAATCATCCTACAAGTTGAACAAAGCTTTTGCCCACATATCAGGTCAAGTATTTTTTAGCACTTTCTTACTTAACACAACAGAGAAAACCCGAAAAAGAGGAAAACTAAGGCAAACGGAAAAAAAATCCGTACCTCTCACAGACTGTTTCATTTTATGATTCTCATAAAAAGAAATTCTTATCAAAAAAAAAAAAAACGCTTGTTACACGTGGCTGAGTGGCTAGAAAGTTCGCTTTCTGACCATGATACCCGGGTTCGAATCTAACCATGGTCGATTTATCAAGATGGCTTCTTGATGTTATCAGTCTGGAGGAGGCGGTTCCAGCGTACGACATCTTTCCATAGTACATTATTCGGACTATTGTCCCCATCTTTGTCGCCATATTTATCACAACGTTTCGGCCGTTGTACGCTCCGGCCTTTTTCAGGTGGTTGGAATTTCGAACTGAACCCTTTATTTCGCTCACTGTACTAGTTCCACGTGCCAGTTATCTGTTATCTCCTGCTAATTTCCCTCTGAAAGTTCTCCACTGCCTTAACCAGGTATTGAACTCACCTTCTTTGGGTCTGTCACTGGATCTAACCAACGCCTTTATCCACTGTGCCATGTGTTGTGATAAATATGGAGACAAAGATGGGGACAATAGTCCGAATAATGTAAATAATGTACATAATACCTCATCTCAGAAATATAGACAGACTTTTCCATAGTGTCTGAAAACCATAGCCAGTGAATGAAGTTTAGTAGGCGGAACCCTTGGAAGACGTCGTTGGTTGTGCTAGCACGAAGTTACAAGTCATCGTGACCGAGGGTTTGATTGTGATAGCTTTGTTCAGACTGTTGTAACGCTATCTCTCTCAGAAACTGTAAGTAAAGATCTCTCAGCAAAGTTGCAGCATAAACCATGTGTCTGAGAATGTGTCTTCAACAGCCTAGCTCCCCCCCTATGAGATGGATATCATCGGATACGATAAGCCAACAATCCCACACACCAAAAAAAGTATCAGCTAAAAATTTATTCGATTTACGAGAGATCATCTGAATTTTATTTGCATCGACACAATAACGCTGAAGGTTTTCATATCGTGTTAAAAATATTTTTTTTTATATTTGGTGTGTTGTCTTTATAAAGGTAATCTCCAAATCTCCTGTAAAGGAACATCTTTTCTTTATTTAAGAATGGAATGATTTTATTAAAAGTTCCTTGTATTGTTTAAATAATAATTGTTGTTGCAGTTTTTTGTGCATATATATATATGTACTAATGAGCTAGGCCAAATGACTTGACTCATTTTATAGTCCACCAATAGAAGGTTAACCAATCAGAAGACGTAGAATATTCAATCCGTCGTGTATAAAGGCTGCCATTTTGTTTACGCTATCCGAATGTCCAGTGCCAGCTTGTCAGGCGAAGAGGAACAGAAGGAAGAACTACGCTCTGCTACTTTTACCAGGATATCCACTACTAAGCTGAACAACGCTTCCCTACTGTCTTCGAAATATTCACTGCTAACCTCTGGATTCTATACTCAAAGACGACCGTCATCATGAACAACAATTGTTGTAGCCTTCATCTTACAAAACATTTCCAAGAGTCTGTCAGTTAAGTACCATACAGGATACATGATTGGGCGATCATGTTTGATTCATGAATGACTAGCTAAAATATATTCCCGTTAGTAGGTAGTCGTTTATACCAAACGGTAGACTGGTTACCAACCAAGGCTATAGAAGCCAGTCTCTCTTGCTATTCAACACATAGAGAAGCCATATTCATACATTCTCCCAGAGATATTTGCGCGTAGTCCCGACTGGAATTCGAACTCGGCTCTCCGTCTTCTCATTCCGGGCCGTTTCCCCTCACACCAAACCACAAACCCCTATCCAAGAGTACAGTGCGAAAAGGAACCACTAGTTTTTAGTAAATTGCCAGGATTTGATATATTAAGTTCTCATTTATAGTTCTTAGATTTTTTTAAAATTCTTCTGAATCTAGTCTTTAATAGAATAAAACATCAATGAAATCTGGGAATTAAAAAAGCTCATATACTTAGCTCTTTAAACATTAAACTCTTAACAACATGACTCAACAAAGGGCAAGTAATTAGGTAGAAGAAATACTGACATGGAGGCGTGAGCATTTCAAAGATTAATATCAACAAGGATATTACAGAAAAAAACACTCTAGCACTAACAATTAACATGGAAGTGGATAAATTATCAATGATTTATTTTATTCATTTTTAGAGATTAATAAGACTTCTAGTGGATAAGGGAAATAAGTTCTTCAGAAAATGGTGCCAGAATTTATGGCTGATTTAGGCGCCGTACTACTTTTCTTCTTTATACACTTTTTAACCATCAGTCAGTTATGTGCCATGCGTGATACACGCTTAGGCGTATATTTCGATACATGACTGACGAGGCAGATTTTTTCTGCAGTAGCTTGCCATTACTTTCTACGGTAGACCAGTTGCCATCCAAGCCTATAGAACCCGCCCTGTTCTGCCATTTACCCATAGTTGTGGGATGGGGAGAAGAAGAGGATTCATACTTTCCCCAAGGATATTATCACGTAAGTGAATGTAATGGATCTGACTGGAATTCGAACTCGGACCTCCGATTCCTCAATCCGTTACTCCAACGTACCTCCTTTTAACCATATTGTTATTATACCGCTGTAACAACAAAATTGTCCAAATCGTGTAACAGCATGCTATAACTTTCCATCCCACAAAATGTATAATATCTAAAAAAAAAAAAAAAATTAAACTAATTGAGTTTCTTTTCTCCAGGTTCTCCGATAAAACGTTTAGCCACCTTGACACCATTTGTCGTAAGAATCGTTTCGTGTCAGCCGGACTATATCTTCCTAACTGAGCAATGGTGAGAGGCAAAAGATCATTCAGGTCTTCCGTAATGGTATCAACATTCATACTCTGGCTTCCATCTTCAAAGTCCATTGAAGGATCATCAAGGGAACGGTGAATAAGTTTTAAAAGGAGAGAATAGTAAAAAAGAAAACTAGATCAGGGGGTCACAAAAAGAAGAAGGATCATTATTTCAACTTAGATCCAAATACATTCTTATTGTGCAAAGTAGAGCCCAATAGTGTTATAAAAACCTCGGAGAATTCCAGTAAGATATCTTTAATCATTTCTAAGATACAACGGTTCCAAGATTAATCTAACAATTCGACAATTTTGCTGTTACACGATTTGGACAGTTTTGCTGTTACACCCGGTATTTCGCCAACTAAGTGTGATTATGTTTTTAGCATCAGAAAAGCTTTCAGTCTTTTCTACACATATTATGTATGTCGTAGTATACTAGTACGTTCGAGTAGGAATAGGTCACCAGTTTGTTGCGTTTA